CCGCCTGGCCGCGGTGCTGTGCAGCCTGCTGTGGGTGACCCTGCTTGGGCAGGGGTTGGGCTGGGGGATCCCCAGAGGTCCCTCCAACCCCTACTATTCTGTGATTCTGTGAAAGCAGATACTCGACTGCAGAAGGATTTAACGATGTGGGGTGATGAGCCTGTAACCTGAACAAATTCAGTTCCCTCAGTGAGCTTGTGCAGCTGGAACCTGATCCTAGTTACGTAGCTTGTAGCTTGATCAACAACGCAAGCGAATTTTTACCTTTTTCTGCTGTTCGTCCCCAGCCGCTGATCAAGCATTCCGTGTGGTTGTCGAGGGGTGGGTGCAGCTGGGCGGGAGGTAAGCAGATCGGCTGGATGTAGTCGCTGTAGCGGACTGCGGGGTGGAGTTCAAATAATGCAAGGTCGTTCTCAAACGTTTCTTTCTTGAATTCTGGGTGCACGGTGATGCTTGCGATATTTCTTTTTTCGATGTGTTTGCCGTGTTCCCACAGGTTGTGCATGCCCAGAACAGCTCTCCAGGAATGCGGGTCCCTAAGAGAGAATTCATGGGGTTTTTTTACAATTCTGTTAAACTAAATACATTTCTTGGTGGTGTTGTTTTAACCGATTGTTTTACTGTTGGCGCGCACACCTTTAGGAACATGCATTGAAAATTCTGTAGTAAATATTTTCGGGGACAAATTTGGCTCATTACCAGGTTGTCTGTTTTGAACCCTTGGTTTGCTTAGTGCTGGTTATGGCTGGGGGGGGGAATTCAGATCAACGATTGAAGCTGGTACTCAGATTTTGCTTCCCACCCCTTCTCAGCAGAGGCCACCCAGGAGATATTCTTTTGAAAAAGATAAAAATGTGGATTTATTTTGCAGAAATCAAGCAGGCTTATACCCACAATGCTTATAAAGACCATGCTTGTACCTAGATTTGGGAAATGCATTAACTAGAATTTACAAATAATGATTATCAATTTAATATTAAATTTAGAAATAGGGCCAGAGTCATTCAGAGCTGATTTCTGTTCCAGTGTGCAGGAAAAAATCTTTACTGCTATTAAGTGCAAATTTAATTGGGCCTGTGCTGAGCAAAGGGCGGGCTATAAAATTCAGATGAACCTCCAAAATTCTCCGGGGTATAAGGTAAAATTTAAATTATTTGCAATGTAATGGCTCTGTAAATTAATGTTTGTAAAAGGGCATTTAAAGAAACAAGGAGCTGATCTAACAAAGTCCTGCTAAATGATAAAATTCCAAAGTCCAGAGGTTTTTACAGTTCACTTTCCCTCAGGTCACGGTTATGTCAACACAGCATGTATGAACTGGCATGGGCTTGCCTGCAGGTTTTGCAACTGTGTTAAAGACCACGGAAAAGACAACAGTGATGAGACAGCTGAAATGCAGCAGAACTGCTGCGAGTGCAACCAAAAGGCGTGGTGAGGCGTGTTATTACCACATCGTCCAAAAAAAAAAGTGTCAAATTGTGGATTCTGTTAAACAGGAAAAATGGAAATTGTGTTAAAACGAATTAATTGTAACATTTCTAATCTAAACATCGCAGCATAGTCTTTTTGCAGTGAGCTTCACTAGTTTTACTGGAGTTTTACTAGTTTAGAAAAATCTATTAATCAGAACAATTAGAGTTCCATGAAAAAAAAAAAAAACCACCTACAGAAAATATCATTTAGATAAAAGCCAACGATCCTTCATTAAAAATAACAAAAGCTGTTCTGGGCCAAGCCAGACGTGCCCATCCAAGACCTCTGGATGTTGCCTTACAAAGACGTAACTCTGCACCCCGTGCGGGGCTGGCAGCCCCGCCGTCGCCGTGCGGGACCGTTACAGCGAGGGTGACGAAGGGGACGGTCTGGGGTCCTGGGAGCCACGAGCAGTCCCTGCCAGGGCCCGGAGCAGGAGCCAGGAGCTGCAGAGTTTGGGTCTGCGCTACGAGAGCGCGGCCCGCGTATGTCCCACGTACAGACACACCACAGGAACGGTAATAAAAGTTAATAAAAAGGAGGTATTAGCATGAATACCTACTTCCTTCCGGTAACGCAGTGGGCAGCGGTGAGTACTGAATTCTCATTAACTAAAACTCCACCACAAATGTGTGCGAACTGTTTACCAGTTTGGTGGACCTGGAGACTGACTGACCATGGCCACGCTCCGATCGGAGCGTTCTGTCCCCCTACGATCCGGGAGCCCAAGATGCTGTCTAAGAGCGGCCGTTGTCCGCACGCTGCAAAACAGAACAGAGTTGGTTATATCCTTCAAGCTGAAAAAAACAGAGCTTTTGGCACGCTGGCAGCACTGTGGGAGTCTGGGCCTTGTTTGGGTTTTGAATCTACGGTGTTATGGAATTTTTGATGTTTGCAGCTGGAGCCCGGCTTCTGGAGATCCCAGGGCTGTGTCCTTAACGTTGTGTGAAATGTGTTTCATCCGGTTACGCGCATATTGCTCGTGTATGGATTTATTGTGTGCATTGAGGGTAAGCGGGTTCCAGCTGCTGCTGCTTTATGAATTTGTCCGATTTAGGTGTAGCTGAAGCCAGCTCTGGGCTCCCCAGTTCAAGAAAGATGAGGAGCTACTGGAGAGAGCCCAGCGCAGGGCTGCGAGGATGAGGAGGGGACTGGAGCATCTCTCCTACGAGGAGAGGCTGAGGGAGCTGGGCTTGTTCAGCCTGGAGAAGAGAAGGCGGAGAGGGGCCCTTCGAAATGCCTCTAAATATCTGCAGGGGGGGGGTCAGGAGGACGGGGCCAGACTCTGTCCAGTGGTGCCCAGCGACAGGACAAGGGGCAA